CTGTTTTCATATTTTTTAATTAAACTTCTAAATCGACGGGCATTTTGACGTGAGCGGTGACCCATTAGAGGAGAAAAGCGCATTTGCGATGTTGAAAACGACAGGCGCTTGCATTTTAATACTCTGTGACTCTGCATGTACTTACGGTAGCCGGAGTAATAACCTGAATTTACATATATTCTGATAAATCTGCCCGAATTGCCCCCCCCCCTCCCCTCCCCCTTGTGCCCCTGTCTCGTGATAAATCATGTCTGTGTCAAAGTTACAAAAACGCGCTACCCGATTCTGAATATCACCAAGAACCACAAGATATAGCAACTTTTTCGAAAGCCAAATATGATAAATACAAGAAAAGAACGATCTTTTCCGGTGGCAGCAAAATGAATTACCTATAACCCTACGTAAGCCCCTTGCTTAAAGTCGAATCTTTTAAACTTGATTAAAAAACTCATTAATGTTAATAATTCATGAGGAAAATACAAAAGAAATGAATGTCTAATCAATGTTTGTAAATCGGATAAAGATTTTTATTATATGGCAAGCATTTGTTTTGATGAATCGCGCAATTTGATTGGCTGCTGACGAGGCAGGATTTTCCCGTATTGCCCACGGGCAATACGCAATTTTTTTGCTCCGCGACAAGAGCCGAGTTTCAAACGGCAAAAAGTGTCTAAAAGTCTTTCAAACTATTCAAAACGAAGAAAAATAAACCTAAACTAAAGAAATGGAGCACCTTCTTTGGTTAAAGAACTTTCTCAATATGTTTTTGTTAGCGAAAGTCGAAATTACAAGGTAAATTTTACAATGTTTATACTGACTATTAAAGAAGTCAGGAATAGTTGTGTTTTGACTTTGTGAAGAGCTGCAAATCTTATTTGTAGATAGCCGAGCAATTTGACACCATCCTAAATAAAAAATACAACTAAAGCAGCCACAGATTTATATTTTTTCCCTGAAAATTTCTGTGGTTTTTCGATAAAAAGAGATATATTTATGAGATGAAGCGAACTAAAACCGTACTTGTCCATACTGTTTATTAATTTTATTGTTTTCATATTTGTTGTCTTTGTCTTTGATTCAATGACGAAATACCTCGTATTTCTCTTGAAATACTATCCAACTGTGTTAGTATTCTATATAAAAAGTGCTGTAGAGTAGTTTTACTAACCAAGCTTGAGAACATTTTTTACAATTGTTCTTAAAGTTTTGCAAATGTTTAGGACTTTGTATTTTGCCCTCGCGTGACCCTTTTTCCCCATTTTTTACAAACGTACAATGCCATATGATAAAAGACTTACTGACCTCAACCGTTCGGGCAGTACGGGAAAATATCCAACCTCGGTCTTGCTGTATTGACCTCGCTATCGCTCGGTCAATACAGCAAGACCTCGGTTGGATATTTTCCCGTACTGCCCTCACTCTCGGTCAGTAAGTTATTAGTCCTGACTTACATAAACTTCAGCTTTCGGATTTTCTAGGCTTATACAATGTTTATTTTTAAAATTACTTCACCAATGAACTCATAAGATGGGTCGTCTTTTAAGCACGTTAAAACATTCGCATCCAATCTTTATCTGATATCGGATATAAATGTTTTAACTGGTACTAAAACAATCATAGTTGACCTGAAGTTTGCCGTTATATTATCATATTGGATGGCGCCAATTCTTCGGGTTTTCGAGCGAATGCTCCTCCAAGAAAATTTCAGTTGAATATTTAGATCAGATGTCTTATTATATGCACTAGATAGCACATCTCTTTTAGTAAAGCCAAGAATATTCCAGCGGTTACCCCCATTTGAATAGATGGCGGCTATGTTGAAGTTTCCCACTCGCTAATAAACGCTTAAAAAACAACAATAACTTTCATCATTTGAACAGTTTGAAAATGTATTTGGAGTAGGTTTAACTTAATGTTTAAGTTCCCTGTTTAAGAAATAGAAAACATACGAGTCTTCTCATTTCATGGGAATATCCTGGGTCGAGATCTGCAATCACGGCTTCAATTTTTGAATTGTATAATAATTAGATGCACGAACTAATGTATATAAGATATCTATGATTTAGACCCTCGGAAGGCCGAGAAATGGAACTAAAATTTTGCTTTAACTTCCACGTTAGCCTGTCAGCTATGCTCTTATAATTTACTCGAAAACCAGCATACGTCACCTCTAAAGTTACACGAAATTTCTCATGAAATAATGCACGGCGTGGGGTTGCTTTACACTCGACAGAACTATATGTTGAAATTATTTTTCTGTAGATGGAAATTTAGGGTGTAAATTATAAATTGTATTCCATAATACTTCCAATGTTAGACCTAACCAGAAGCAGCTGCGAGAAATGCAGCTACAGGAAGAACCTAATAGACCTTTCCCCTTATGAGTGAAATTTTGATTCCGCTTATGAGTGAAATTTTGATCTAGACAAGTCTGGACAAATCACAGCTTGAAAGAGCATCTCAAAATTAGTAATATTCCGAAAGTTTCGTTGCGAAATGTTGTAAAATGCGGATAATATAGCCTTGCAAAGTTTGCCGTTTTTCAGTCATTTTGCATTACAAACGGAAAGCATTAAGCTGGTCTTCCACCTTGAAAAGATTTTTTCCAATTAAAGCTTTTGTCATCATATTTGAGTCATGCGAAGATGACAGATTATGTTACATTCGTCGTTGCCATAGTAGGGAGGAATCAAGCAAAGACGACGGTAAAAGACGACGGTAAAAGACGACGTGAAAATGGCGTGATGTGCACATTAATGGATGTGCCATGCCATTTTCACGTCGTCTTTGGCGTCCCGTAGATATAGGCCTCCTAAAAGGGTAAACTACATGGCAGGGGCGGCGGAACAGGGGGGGCTAGGGGGGCTAAAGCCCCCCACCCCCCAGAACTAAAAGTGGGGGGCTAAGCCCCCCCCCCCCAGAAAATTTTGTTTTCGCTGGAAAAATTTTGATAATTAATGAAAAATGTAGGTTATTTTGGAAAATTTAGGTATAAGGAGAAAAATTTGGAATATTTTGTTTAAAAATTGTGTATGTCCGGAAAAATTTTTTGTTATAGGTCCGGAAAAATTTTTTTTCATCCCTTTTCTTGTATGTGTCCGGAAAAATTTTTCTACCGCTAAAATGGTACACCGACCGAAATTTTTTTGGCGACGGGGTGGGGGGGAGGTCACGGAAAAAAAATTTAGCCACCCCAAAATGAACTCTGTTCCGCCGCCCCTGCTGCATGGTTTTCTCCAAAAAGAATGTGAGCAAAACTAAATCATTGAGGACCCTAGAAACAGCTTTAATGGATACTTAAAACATCCAGATCTATGTCCTGAACCTGAAAAAATACGCAGGTAATAAATTAATTAAGGCCTTCATGTTTAATTTCTTATAGATATATGAAGAAAGAAATTCATTAGGGTTCATATAAAATTTTAACTCTGATTGGAATTATATTATAAAAATCCGCACGTACTGGATCCTCTCAGATTCAGGAAAAGGTAATTAATGCAGTGAGGGTGACACGTTTGGCTTATCACCTTCCGCTGCTGTTATTTAGTTTGTACCATTTTACCGCTTCTTCAAATGTTGCTTAGTTTTCGAAATATTTTGAAGAAAATCATCATGTAATTTCATAAATTTGTGTAGTGAGGTGTCCGCCATCTTCAATTATTGTGGATATGCATTTTACCTAGATATGCATGACGAATGCTCATTGTGAGCCAAAATTATTACTTCTGTCACTATTTCAAATAACAATTTGACTGACAAGGTTTTATGCATCTGCCAATTCCGATACTTTATTACCATTGTTCAATCGTTAATAAGCCTCCTGCACGTTCAAAGTTGTAAAGGAAACAGTAAAAGTACGAAACTGTTTCCTTTAGATTCACAAGTTTGAAAGCGCGCATGCATGCATGCAGCTAGGAGGCTTATTAAAAATTGAACGATGGTAATAAAGTATCGGAATAATCTACTTTAGCAAAATGCTTAACTCTTACTTTCTCATCTTTCTTTCTCTAGTCCTATCTCTAGTCCTCCATGTTAAGGGAACTTGTTAGTTAAAGTTATGAGGTGTTACGTTATCAATATATCATATAACTAGTTAGCTTGAGCGAAGTAAACATATGATTATGAGGCTGCGCATGAAATTAATCTTATGAGTTATGTAAGGAATTCTTTCATTTGCGTTTCTTATATGCACTATAAGCACCTGCTTCCAACTGTTGTGAGTAAATTATTAAAAAAAAATTGAGAGATACTAAATTTGCAGAAGAAGCGGCGAGCCATTTGGTGTTTGGCAATATATACATATACTTAAAACAATATTTTTTATGCAAATGATTTAAGATCGAAACACGGAGTATTGATGCATGCACGGGCTCCTCGTCAGGTCTTGAAAAGTATATATAAACTCGCGTTCGAATAGTCCATCATTCCCAATGCCCAACTGAAAACTTATAGATTTCGGTTAGTTTTTGATAAGGCGGCAAACTCATAAACAACGGAACGTAAACCTATATTCTCTATAAACCCAGCTGAAACCAGCTGTAATTTTTCAATTATATATAGTGATGTTTTTATATATATTGACATGACATGTTTGTGCAGTTAAGACTAAGGCTATAAGTGGAGTTTGATGTGAGAAACTGCCAAAGGATACTGTAATCGTTTAAACAGGGACGCGCAGTTGAAGGTATACAGAAGCTTAAAATTTGTACAACATTCTCTTTTGACTTGTTTGTTATTATTATTATTATTATTATTATTATTATTATTATTATTATTATTATTATTATTATTATTATTATTATTAATGTTAAACACTCCCAGAAGGGTTTTTCAGTGTTCAATACAGAAGTTATAAAAAGTAATTACTTAATTAAATTATATTCTAAAAACTATATAATATACTATTAACATCAAAATATATAATATCAAGCTAGTTATATTTAAGGTAAAATACTTATTAATACTATTTAATTTAAAATTTAGTCAGTAAAAGATGTAATTCAGTTCTGTTCATCGAGAAATTGTTGAACCAAATAACTTCGCAGCCCGCTTTTAAAACGTTCCAAATTAAGATTATGGTCTTTTAACCATTCTGGCAAACTGTTCCATAAACAAGAAGCTCGGTAGCGAAAAGAACGTTGTCCGGTCGCTGTTCTATATAAAGGTATTTCCAATAATTCGCTAGATCTTGTGTTCAAATTGTGTAATTGTGATCTTGTTTGGAACATACGACATAAATATGATGGGGCCATACCATTAACACATTTATAAGCCATTACTGTATCTCGGAATCGCAACATATAATTGACTGGTAACCAGTTAAGCTGTTTTAAAGATGGAGTGATATGGTCGAATTTTTTTGTGCCCGTGACAATACGTGCTGCGAAATTCTGAACTTTTTGCAATTTTGCAATGTTTTTCTTCGATGAATTAGACCATATGGTTGAACAGTAATAGAGTTTACTAAAAACCAACGCGTTTATTAAAAGAATTAACGTCTTCATATCAAAAAGGTGCCTTGCTCTATTAATTTGACACAGGCTACCGACACAAGAGGAAACCAGTTTTGTGACGTGTTCATCGTACGTCAAACCACTATCCAGTGTCACGCCTAGATCAGTGGCTGAGGTCACAGGAAACAGTTTTTTCCCCAATAGTAAAATATGGAAATCTGCCGGTATCTGTTTCAACATATAACGAGTTGCGAACACAAGTAATTTCGTCTTATTGGAATTAATAAGCCGACTATTTAGAGAACACCAAGAAACGACTCTCCGTAGATCTTCGTTAAGCTTAGCAGCCGCTGAGTTCACTTCATTGACGGAAAATGACAAAAGTAGCTTCGAGTCGTCGACGTAAGACTTCAAATTACCATTCTTTGGTACCATAGGTAAATCATTAATATATATGTTGAATAACATGGGACCGAGAATTGAGCCCTGCGGAACGCCATGATTGATGTGTGCGTGTTTCAGAGACAGTCGATCCAATGCGCACAACCTGCTGTCGTCCTGTCAAGTAACTTTTAAACCAACATAAAGCGTCATCGGACACTCCCAATACTTGGAGCTTTTTTAGAAGCAATACATGATCGATACTGTCAAATGCTTTAGAAAGGTCTAGTAGAATTACAGCTACGACCTCCTTGTCGTCCATAGACTTTAAGATCTTATCCGATATAAATAAATTTAATGTTTCAGTGGAGTGCAGCTTCCTGTTTCCACTTTGGTGTACGCTTAAGCATTTCTTCTGTTCCACATATGCGGTAAATTGTTCCAAAACTACACGCTCGCAGATCTTTGATGCAGCAAGTAGCAAGGAAATTGGCCGATTATTTTTAGCAATTTCGTGATCCCCTTCTTTTAATAGGGGAATAACTTCTGACAACTTCCAGGCGCTGGGAAACAAAGATTCTCTTAAAGAGCAGTTAACAATATCCGTAAGAGGTTGAAGAATGTATGGTAAGGCATCTTTGATCACTTTCACAGAAACTTTATCTGGTCCAGGGGACTTATTGGATGGAAAAGAACACACAATTTTACGAATCACGTCACAGGACACAGGGTGAAAATGAAACTTGTCAATTTCTGCACTGAATTTATGTGGTGTCTCTGGATGAGTCGATGTAAGACCATATGAAGTAATCAACGCTTTGGATTCTTCTGCCGCTTTTGCTCCGACTGAAGAAAAGTATTCATTAAATTTGTTCGCTACTTCAACGACATTCCCAGAATAAGTTAAACGTGTTTTTTCATTTCTAGGAATACATTCTCTTACAGTTTTCCAAAGGGAGTTGTTGTTGCTATTTTTGTCATTGATTCTTTTATACACAAATTTTCTCTCGGATTCTCTCAATTTTCTTTTAATTTGATTTCTACATGAACGATATCTGTCCCAGTCCAAGGCTGGGACAGATATCGTTCATGTAGAAATCAAATTAAAAGAAAATTGAGAGAATCCGAGAGAAAATTTGTGTATAAAAGAATCAATGACAAAAATAGCAACAACAACTCCCTTTGGAAAACTGTAAGAGAATGTATTCCTAGAAATATTATTAAAAAGATGTTACCAATAACATTTTTTCTCTGGACATTTACCTACCATCTTATTAAAAAGATGTACATTAACTATGTTCTACAAACTATATTTAAACATACAACATATCTATATTGTAATTCAGTATATTCATGTATGCGACTTGCATTATGTTTGTATGGCATCTTATAGGGGTTATATTCATATAAGTCGCCGAGTCAGCCCGGTTACACGAGAGGCGAGATGATCGTATCACGAAAATTTTTCCCTACCATCAAAAGATCGTTCGAACGAGATTTATATACTGTTACTGGAATCACACTAAATAAATTAAATTCAACTTGGAAATAATTATACTAATTTTGGATGTTTATAAAAGCCGGGCAGAGTAAACTGAATGCGTATTTAGCCCATTGTATAATTTATGCATAGTATAGATAACTTAATTCGTTCGCGGAGGTATACAGGTCTCCGCGAGTGGCCATTTGTTGACGCTTTCTTCGGCAAACGAATTTGGAACGTCATGACGAGAAATACATGACAAGCATGGTTTCTCCGACTTCAAAGCCCATGCAGATATACCCCACGTTTTTTTACAGATATCTGTGAAATTTCTTTTGCAATCTTAAATATACAGTATATAGATAATCATCTGACACCATTCATTCTGTCAGTGCAGGGATGACAGATATACTATAAATTTGTTCTAACATAGACGCGAAAATTTATTGTATCAAAAAGAGCATGACTTTAATCAGTGTTGTAATGAGTCACCGTTAAATGCCCATATATTTGTGTGACCTCACTAATTATTCACTGCCAAATTTCCGAAGGAAGAGGGGTTACCAATAACATTTTTTCTCTGGAGATTTACCTACCAATCACCAGAATCTGTAAGAACCTCTTCATGCATGTCAGCACATCACTGTAAACTTGCAGTGCATGTCACACCAATGTGGCCAGCGTTGCCTATCAAAGCCTACCATAAGTCCATTATTTAAAACGAATGATAACACGGAGATCTCTGATCCAATTTTAATTGCCAATAAATTTTGAAACTATTTTACTAATATTGGCCCAAATCTTGCTAAGAAAATAAAACCTTCTCAGTCACATCGTTTGTTTCTTTCTGGATGTTATTCTCAGTCTGTTTTTCTTGATAGTGTGACCTCCGATCCGCTGAAATTGTTGAAATTGCTAAATCGTTTCAATCAAATAAAACTGCTGCATGGTTATGATAAAATTCCTATGTCAATAATTAAACAGTTTATTAATATCATTGCAGAACCACTTTCTCATATACTTAATTTGTCCATTGCTAGTGGCATTGTCCCTGGTGATATGAAAATTGCATGTGTAATTCCCTTATTTAAAGCAGGTGATCGTGCAATATTCTCAAATTATAGACCAGTATCTATACTTCCATGTTTTTCAAAGTTTCTTGAAAGGGCTATGTATAATCGTTTATTGGCATATCTCGATAAATTTAAGATATTAAATGATAATCAATACGGATTTCGCAAAAATTCAACTTCACCTGCTTTGATCGATTTATATGACAAAATTTCAGACGCGATTGACAGAAAAGAAACTTCTGTGGGGATTTTCCTGGATTTATCTAAAGCCTTTGATACAGTCAATCATGAGTTGGAACATTACGGAATTCGCGGCTTGCCATTGCAATGGATAAAAAGTTATTTTACCAATATAGAACCCAATTTGTTCAATTTAATGAACATCGCTCATCTCCTAGTGCTGTTTGTTGTGGGGTGCCTCAGGGTTCTATACTTGGCCCTTTATTTTTTTACTTTATATTAATGATATTTGCAATGTGTCACAATTAGTTGAATGACAATTTTATTTGCTGATGATACAAACATTTTCTTTTCACATAAAGATCCGCAATATGTAATCGATTCTTTGAATAATGAACTGGAAAAACTGTCTGATTGGTTTCAAGCAAATAAATTGTCGCTTAATACGGAAAAAACGAAATTTATGGTATTTAAACCAAGACAAAAAAAATTCTACCTGGATATACAACTATTAATAATAAGTGTATTGAACAAGTCAAGGAAACTGTGTTTTTGGGAGTTATTCTGGATGAAAATCTGAGTTGGAAATCGCATTTTTCCCATATATATATATATATATATATATATATATATATATATATATATATATATATATATATATATATATATATATATATATATATATATATATATTACTCCATGAAAATGCACAGAAATTATAGCCCATAGGGAACGGTATTTCGGAAGAAAAATTTTGCATTTTGAAAGACATAAACAAAGACAATTTACTCAATAAAAGAGGCGAAATTTTCGGCAAATGTCGTCACAAAAACCACAGGGGGTCCAACTAAGAGCTGTGTTATGAATATGAATAAAACATTAATTAAGTAATATGAATAAAACATCATAACGTAATATATTTAAATTATTGCACTTACTTGTATAAATCATAAGAGCTTGTATTTGCAGTGAATAGCTTTTAACAGGGCGCTTATACACGCTTAGAAAATCGCTCAGAAACACTTGATTCGAACGATTGTTCAAATATGGCGAATAAATTGACAAAACGAAAATATTACATGACGTTCCAACGAAAATAACAGCAAGGATTGCGTGCGCGCCGGCGAAAAGGCGAGGGAAGAAATAAATAGAAGGGATGAAACAAATATCAGGTGACTTTTAAAATGCTTCTAGACTATCCGTTTAAGCTTTTTGTGGTATTTTTAGGGCTCAGTAGATGTTCTCTTACACGAGCAAGCCTAGTCATTACCAAAAAAAGAACTGATCAATCTAATTTATGTGATTTATAACAGCGGACATTCTCAGTAGCCGTTTTCGCGAGAGTGTGTTCCATAAGTAGCCTGTTCTCGTGACGCATGACTAAATAATAATAAAACTAAATAATGTAAAAAAAAACGTTCGTCGCTACATTTAAATATTTCGTATTAGCCGGTATAGCTAAACATTGTTTATTTTCATTAATTAAGCGCGTAGGCGTTGTTGGAGTTGGCAGGAGGCGTTTTGGAATTTTCCAAGAGAACAGGCTACTTATGGAACACATCACACGATCGCATTACCGGTGTTTCATCCCTTCTATATAATATATTCACCCTTCGCCTTCCGCTCACGCCCGCAATCCCTGCTGTTATTTTCGTTGGAACGTCATGTAATATTTTCGTTTTGTCAACTTATTCGCCATATTTGAACAATCGTTCGAAGCAAATTGTTTCTGAGGAATCTGGGCATATATAAGCGCCCTGTTTGAAGCTATTCACTGCAAATACAAGCTCTTATGATTTATACAAGTAAGTGCAATAATTTAAATATATTACGTTATGATGTTTTATTCATATTACGTTTAATTAATATGTTTTATTCATATTCATAACACAGCTCTTAGTTGGACCCCTGTGTTAAATGTTGGATTGCACCCCCTGGATTCTTTGTATGATGACGATGGGTTAATTATTTTCAACGTGGGTGTTGTTTGATTTTTCGGAGTGGGAAGAAAATTTCGATAACAAAATTTAGCAAAGATTGAAAAGCAGCGAGTTTTTCCGTACAGTTTGATAGTGTTTCAAGGAATGACCAATCAGTAGATGCTAACCATCTTCCAAAACAGGACTTCATGCTTGGCTTTACATTCCTTCTAAAAATTGATTCTACTTTCGCTTTGCGAGCTCTCCTTAAAGGACGAATAAGTAGGGAGTTATGGTCACTTAAGTCGATTCCGGGTAGAATTTGAGGGGTGCTATAATGGTGAAACAGGTTGGTGAAAATTAGGTCGAGGATTGCAGCACCGCGTGTTGCATTTTTAACGGTTTGTCGCAGGTTAAAATGATTACTAATATATCGGTAATTTAAACGATTAAAATCGCCAACCAACATAATTCCAGCATTAGGATATCGGTTCAAAGCAGCATCCAAAGATGAAAATAAGTGATCCCTAAAAGTAGCATCATCGTCTTGTGGTGGGTGGTATATAATACCGATAATTAGGCAAGAAAAGCCTCGTGGCAGTCGGTTCGGACGGAGGTATACCCAAAGAGATTCAAATTTGGAATCATTAAGTTCGTCAATTGTTGTGAAATCAATTGATGACTTGATGTACGTACAAACACCACCACCAACTTCAGACATCATTTTCTCTTTGGAGTACCATCCTGAAATTTCTTCATTCAGTATAATTTTACAGATAAAGCACTAAACATACTTTTTATGTTTGTTTATCGCATGAAAACCGTATCAAAAATAAAAATATTATAAAAATTTAATATTGTGCTAATAACCAAGGGGGAAAGTACATTCGTTAATTTTGAGCGCGTGTTACGTCACGTACAAAAGATTCTTCTCTTAATTAATTTGCAAGTCACCAAAACTAATAATAATAATAATAATAATAATAATAATAATAATAATAATAATAATAATAATAATAATAATAATAATAATAATAATAATAATAATAATAATAATAATAATAATAATAATATTTATCCAGGATACGGATACCCAAATCACTTACGTGTTTTTCAGTGGGGTCCTGCATCAGAATTACAATTATTTACAATATTAATTATTGTCAATATTTAAATTGAACAAAAATATACAAATATATACATGCACGTTACAACGATGATAAATAGACCATTAATTTATAATTCATAAAAATATAATTTAATTTAGTCAGTAAGCATGCAATGTGCCTCAAATGGTAGGAAAGAATCAATCAATTCAGAAGTCAGAAATTAAGATGCATTAAACTGCAATAATTAGGTCGAAAAAAACGCAAGATGGCGGAATACTGTTTCTGGTCAAAATATCTCTAAAACTAAACAAGATAGAAAAGAATTGTAACGGGTCTTCATAGTTATATCGTTTTAAAAGTTCGTTGAAGTGAGAAAAAAATAAATTTTTATTGTCACTTCCCTTTAAGTGTAGTGGTGCACACCATGTGCGCGACCTTGAACAAGTTCAGGTTTTCACCAACTTTTGGTAATCATCAGCTTCGCGTTTGCTTAGATCCAGCGGCTCGTAGTCTGGCAGGTTCTTTCCCATATTCACGTCTTCGTACGACTCTCTTCTCTCGTGAGTTGGTATAACATAATCTGAGTCTTGCGTTACTGTGTCTATGTTCTTATACGTATCGTTTTCCATTGTATTTCCAACCTCTTCGTGATCTGATGTTCTGCCTTTAAAAACAAAAAAAGATATCATAAAGCCCTGATCAAACGAAAATGAGAGTTGAAGAGAATTGAGAAGCGAGAGTTTGCATGAATGTTGATGAGAGTTGAGAAGCAAGAGTTTGCATGAGAGTTTGTATGAGAGTTGAGAAGCGAGAGTTTGCATGAGAGTTGATGAGAGTTGAGAAGCGAGAGTTTGCATGAGAGTTGATGAGAGTTGAGAAGCGAGAGTTTGCATGAGAGTTGATGAGAGTTGAGAAGCGAGAGTTTGCATGAGAGTTGATGAGAGTTGAGAAGCGAGAGTTTGCATGAATGTTGATGAGAGTTGAGAAGCAAGAGTTTGCATGAGAGTTTGTATGAGAGTTGAGAAGCGAGAGTTTACATGAGAGTTGATGAGAGTTGAGAAGCGAGAGTTTGCATGAGAGTTGATGAGAGTTGAGAAGCGAGAGTTTGCATGAGAGTTGATGAAAACTCTCATACAAACTCTCGCTTCTCAACTCTCATCAACTCTCATGCAACCCTTGTTCTCGTTTGACCGGGCCATGGGAGTTGAGAAAACTCTCACACAAACTCTCGCTTCTCAACTCTCATCAACTCTCATGCAACTCTTGTTCTCATTTGGCCGGGCCATGAGAGTTGAGAAAACTCTCATGCAAGCTCTCGCTTCTCAACTTTCATCAACTCTCATGCAACTCTTGTTCCCGTTTGACCGGGCCATGAGAGTTGAGAAAATTCTCACACAAACTCTCGCTTGTCAACTTTCATCCTCGACTGACCAAGGCTTATAAGACTGCATGATCCGTCCCTAATATAGCGAGAGATGTCAGAGTTTGCATAGGATTTTTCTCAACTCTTGCATATATAATTAGCGCGCGTAGCCGCAAAAGTTCTCATAATGGAGGAGGAAATAGTGGGAAGGTGGAAAAACTTTAGGGTGGAAAGTTAGGGCTTAGAAAGGGCCACAGTCAACGACGTGACGTATGCATATACTATAGTGTACATATGTATCAGTCAGTGTATTAATGTATTATGACTGTACAACTCATCCAATTTTGCCCTTCATTACAATTAAGGTTACAGGACACCCTTTTTGGCGTTTTGTGGAAAATCGCTACTGCGCGCTCAAAATCAGTCCGATTTTCATCAAATGTTCACCAAATGTTAGCCGGTGCATGCAAAATATGATAACGTTGTAAAATTGACAAACAGTAAAATTGTGTAAGAATTATTCAGGAAAATCTTAAGTCGCGGTACCTTTACGCTTTTGTGTTATGTTCCTGCTGGTTTTAAGATATATTTATGAAAATATCATTTTTATACAGTGAAATAGTTGTTCTAAAAAACTGTGTTCGGAAATTTTTGTTTATTTCGTCATTCCGCTGATATGGTGATTTATTTGACGACTGCAATATATTTCTGAATCGTTTGTGTGAATTGCTCCTTATTATTAAAATATCCAAAATTAGAACAAAGCCGAACACTATTTTGAAACAGACGTCTTTAGTTGTGTCCTGTGAAAATTTGAGAAAAATTCGTTAAAACCCGCAGGAGCACAACTCGTTTAAAAATCAGTAATTGCCGTAAAATTCTTCGGGAGAATATTGAATTTGAATATTACATTTTCAATGTTTTTCTGATTGCAAGCGAAGTGTATTTTATTAAATAACTCTGCGAGTTTTCAACATTTTTCGCCCACACTTGATCAGATAGTAGAACTAGTCTAATGCTTTCACGGAAACCAATAAAGACTCAAAGGCAAAATTAACACTCAAAGGTGTTCTGTTACCTTAATACACAGTTTCTTTCAAAACATTGCATTAAAAGCGTACTTGACACAGAGATGAACGGCTATCACTGTTTCAATTTTACAGAAAAAACTTTCTTACGAAGTGTAGACCCTAAGCAACCAAAAATGTCAACTTTTCACTTTCATCTATCATTGAAATTTTCCCAAGGGGAGGTGCATGATGTTCCAGGGGAGGTGCAATAATTACCATGCCGGGGAGGTGCAAAACGATCTCAGGGGAGGTGCGCACACCTCCTTTGTGTGAACAGTTGGTGGTCAAATGCGGAGAGTTGCAACCTCTACAGGAAAAATATTATTTCAGTTTAATCAAGATATATTACATTTTCTTTTCAGAATGACCAAACTATTACACGTACATAGCAAGGTTAGCGGAATTTTGAATATATTACCTTCAGCTGATATGTCTTCAGACTCGTTCGCTTTTGTGGCGACGTCATCGTAATACTCTTGATTAACACATGGGACAGTTTCGTAAACTGGCTCCTGTTTTGATGATAATGATGACTTTTTAATGTCGATTACAGGTGTTGCGTTTGCCCAATTCACCCAAGATTCAAAAACTAAGGCTTAAGGCTAGGAATAGTTTTTGGTGGCTCTATATTATGTTACTACAGGAGGGAAACTAAACTGAACTAACTTAATTTATACTGGACGGCTCTATCAAACTCAGTTTGCCTAGAGGTCCAGTAAGGTTCATCTCTTATATTGATCCAGTGTTACTACAGGAGGAAACCTAAACTGAACCAACTTATATTTATACTGGATATAGTTCTATCAGTTCTATAGTTCCATCATCTCTTATTGATCCAGTGTTACTACAAGAAGAGACCTAAACTAAACTAACTTTATTTATACTGGATAACTCTATCAGTTCTAAACTGTTCTCCCCAGAAGTCCAGAAAGGATAATCTCTTATTGATCCAGTGTTACTACAGAAGGAAACCTAAACTAAACTAACTTTATTTATACTGGATAGCTCTATCAGTTCTAAACTAAACATTCGTAAATAATTTACCTGATCAATTGGCAACGATTCTTGTGGAGTTGCGTCTGCCTGTGGAATATTGACAGGAGTTGATAATTTTCGAGCCCGCTTTCGTCGTTTGTATTTTATCAATAAGACAATAAGCACGATGCAATGAAATACGACGCCACCCACTGTTGTTGCTATGATAATGATTGTGCTGCCTGTTTTTTCCTTGACTGAATAAAGATAAGAAAAAATTATAGTTATTTCTAGTAACCAACTCAAAATGTTAAGACAACTAAATTAACGTAACACTGCCAACAGATAAAGAAGAACTTCCTACAATACGACGTTTGTGATGTTACTCTGAGTGTGTATCTACACCGGGCAAGATATATATTATATATATACAGCTATTTCAATTAAGGTTGTCCACGAGCAAAGCGGAAAAGTTGAATATGAGCGCGAAAGGCTGCTGGGAATCGCTAACAAATTAATGAATTTTCAAAGCGGTTCCCAGCAGCCTTTCGCGCTCGTATTCGACTTTTCCGCTTTGCTCGTGGACAACCTTAATTGAAATAGCTGTATATATAAACTTGAAAAATATGCCTGGCCACGCTGGGAATCGAACCTACGACCTTTGGAATACTAGCCCAAGGATCTGCCAACTGAGCCACGCGGTCAGGTCGGTTCGAGTATGTGATATTTCGGAACTGGGCGGCTCTAGTTCCTTCGATATCACATACTCGAACCGACCTGACCGCGTAGCTCAGTTGGTAGAGCATTGGGCTAGTATTCCAAAGGTCGTAGGTTCGATTCCCACCGTGGTCAGGCATTTTTTCAAGCTTGCCCGGTGTGGATATACACTCATATAAGTAATAGCATAAAAAGAGGCGAATTAGCTATTAAAATGTCCCGCCCGATGTGGGTCGTGCAGTAAAATTCCCTTGGGCGCCGCTCGATGAGCTAGGGTCATTTAGTTGAGGGTCATTCATACATTTAGTTGAGGATCATTCATAAATTATGATATTGAATTATTATTATTATTATTATTATTGATGATTATTTTAACAGGATAAAAACGTCAGTTATGTAAAAATTAAATAATTAATTACAAAAACTGCTGACCAAAGTAGCATAAGCTTTCGAGTTGGCCACCGTCTACTTTTGATTTATTAGGTAATTTTTTGAGCTAATTACATATATCTCATTACTACTTGGATTTTACAGTGAATAAATTGAACTCTTGGTCAAAAGAAGAGAGAGAAAAGTAGCAAAGAAAGTTAGCATAATACACAAAAATATAGCTATTTTTTGATTAACGTAATCATTAATTAAGTAGTTAATTCATTTGTTTAACCAATCCATTGTGGCATAAAATAAATCAAGTTAACATTCCCAATTTAACTAAGGGTTATTAATTTGGTATGACAGTAAATCTACTTTATACTGTCTCTCAAAATTGCTGGTCGTTGGTAATTTTTTTAAGGGAACTGTAATGTTCTCCCATAACACTGGCGCAGAGTACTTGAAAGTAAATTTTCCAAAATTTGTTCTTATTTTTGGCCGATAACAGTTGCATCTTGCTGCATGCCTTGTATTGTAACTATGAATATTTTTCACAGGCATTAAAAAGTTATGAAATAGTGGGGGAACGCTTGAAGGGTTGACAAACAATTTTTGTGTTAATATAGCAGTTTTTAATTTGACAATATTTTCAAATTTTAATATTTCAAGTAATTGATAATAAGGTGAGGCAGATTGTCTATTGTTTACAAAGAAGATACTACAAACACAATTATTTTGTTTCACAGTTAGTTTTTTTTAAATTACTTGAGTGATCACTACCCCAACTCATAGATCCATAGCTTAAGTATGGATAAATGAGAATATAATACAATTGTTTTAACATGTGAACATTTAAATCATTACGTAACTTAATTAAGTGCTCATCCATATATATACCTAAGTATTTAATGCACCTTTTTTGCTCAATATTTAATATTTTTATGTTTGAAGGAAGTAGTTTTTGAAGGGAACAAATTAACATAAAATTAGTCTTTTGCATATTTATAGACAATTTATTAGCAGTGCAATATTTCAGAATGTTTTGGAATTCCTCATTCATAACTGTTTCGATTTCTTTAAGGTTCTTACTAGCATAGAATATATTAGCATCATAAGCAAATAAGCGAAAAGAAAGCTATGTTGACGAATTAGGTAAATCATTAATATATAAAAGAAATAATAGTGGCCCTAAAGTGGATCCCTGAGGAATTCCGCATACAACATTTAGAGGCTCAGATTCTATATTTCCAATTTTAACATACTGTAACTTATTTTGAAGATAGCTTTTAAACCAATCCAATACTACACCACGAACTCCATATTTGTTTAATTTGTTTAGTAATATATTATGGTTGACTGTATCAAATGCTTAGAGAAGTCTAAAAAGAGGCCACATGTAATAAGTTTATTATCAATTGAGGTTCTGAGATTATCACTCATCTCTAAAATGGCCAACATGATGGTGAAATGGCAGGAAATGTCACCGTTTTAGAAACAGAACTTCCATTATTACCCACCGAAGGCAGTTTACTAGGTTGAATTTCTACAATCATAAAAATACGTTATAACTTAGATCTGTCACCAACTAAAGGATGAGGAACGACCCCATTTTCACTACTCTATTAGATCAAAAATCTACTACCCACCTACCATATATCGGTTTACCTACTGCATGGAATAGTGAGATAATATCACTCCAGTCAATGTAAGGAATCCGTTATCCAAATTTGCGCTATACCAACCTGCTAAATTCGTAGCTTTATATTGTGCATGAAAAGTAAGAATATTTTTAGCACTTCTTTCATAACTTCCAGAATTTGACACGATGTATAAATTAATTGTGGATGATAAAACCACGACTTCTGTGCTTGCATTTGAACCGCAATATGTGCCAAGCAATGGAGCTGTGTTATTTGAACCATCATATATTCTTAGAAATGTATCATTGCAACTTGGTATGGTCAGCTCTTTAAAGCTCAATGAAATGATGTACGTTTCAGCAAGCGTAATTAACCAGGAACAATATTGCGAGCGTGGATCCATCTCACTAACTACAGCCTTATGTGATCTAAATGAACCACTAGGATCAGTCATTGTACGACGGCACTCTGAAATAGAATTAAAGAAAATGAAAGGACCTTGAAAATCAAAGCTAAAATCTTTGCAATGTGCTTGTATAAAGCATTTATCACAATATTATAAAGCATTTATCACAACATTTATCACGAGTAAAGTATGATTCAGTGAGTAATTGGAATGTTCCATACTTGCATTGTTGTTTCGTTATTTTGAAAATCCCACCGTTCTCTACGCCATCGCTCATTGTTCTATCTCAAATTTATTTCATAATTTCATAATGTCAAAGAATTTTAACCTGGCTTGATACTATATACAATTATCAGGCTTAAATATGAGCTCTGCCCAAAAATACATGCACAATCAATTAAGACAGTGTTTAAATTGTTAGCAATGTAATAAAAGATTGTTAAACAATTGAACACTTTGAAATGTACATTTTAAACCTTTTTGTTTACCGTACATGTTATAAGATTCTAATGCAATTTTTTTCCGGATTGTAGAAAGCGTTATTTGAATGTTCAATTGACAAACTGAGTAATAACGTACCTTCATAGTAACAATAGAATAGCTTTCTTCCATCCACAAACAAATGTTCCCCTCCCTCGTGATTTCTATTATTTTTATATTCTGTATCAAACACAATATACTCCAAGTAACTAAGTGCCCACGTCACCATCTGACATTTGGGAGTGTCAGTAGAGTTAGATGTTAATAAATAAAATGGTTGACTGACAGGCAGTTCAATTGAATCATACCAGTGACCAGCAGTTTGACAACAATACTCCATCTTGGTATCTTTATCATATGAACCATCTGGTAGATATCCTCCTTTACTATTTCTGTTGTCATTATCTTCATCATCCCATGTCACCGAGCCTGATGTCATATCTTTCGGACACACTCCACTCTTGTAAATACAATATGAACCTGTCAAAACAAAAATACATTTCGAGGGGAAATCATTCAAAAAACGTATACAACATAAAGAAATCATTTTGATTAAAAAAAATCATTCTGCATATAGAGAAAAATCTTACCTTTCGGCCAAAACCTTGCTTGTATACCAGTATTTTGTTTCATGCAGAATGTCCTATTTACATCTCTATTATTATGTTCATTTGTTGTTATGACACCCAGCATATGTGACCCATTAGATACTCTTGACCATTCACTGCTACTCTTTTCGTCTTGCATATCCTGGTACCTCCAACCCTCGCGCCACTCATTCTTCGTACCACCTGGACATCCTGATTTAGGTTTAGGGAGACCATAACTACCACTTGGCCATTTGTCAGCTGAAAACATCAGACCATATGTGCAATACTACCAGTGAGCTCTATATATATCTGGAGTAAGAACTTCAGTCATTCGGTCAATGAGAAAAGTGAAGCCAAGTGAAGCCAAGATGGCGGCCATTGACGTCCAATAGCTCTGAAGGTCGTAAACAGTTTTTATACCATTTTCCCAGCTAATTCCAGTTTTTTCTAATGGACCGTATCACTAATGAAGTTTTCAGTTCATAAAATCACAATATTATTCTTTAAATCGAAGTCAAAATACGAAATTTCAAGACACTCCTTGCCAAGATGGCGAAAATTGAAGGAGCTATTGGACGTCAGTTCCAGTCCCTTTCCATTGTTTTTGTCTGCGCGGTTAACACGAAACTGGATTCACTTGGAGCAACCAAGTTCCTACTCCAGATATATATGGAGCTCACTGAATACTACTGATTAAATTAGAATAATTTATATTAGTACATAACTCATAAGTTGTTACATGAGACCGGGGACAAGTCAAACCAGGACGATTTTACTTCGGTCAGAGTATTATTTATAATCTTGAACTGCCTGTGTCAGTGTGTAGGGATGCAACTATTTGAAAAATATAAGGAGAATTTCGACGTTTCGAGCGAAGACCCTTAACTAGAAGGCCTTTAACTACACTCCATGTAAGGAATCCGTCAACCAAATTTGCGTTTTCGAATTCGGAATCCAGAGCACTAAATCCAGAATCCACACAGTAGGATCTGGTATCCAGTTTGTTGATAGAATCCAGAATCCAAATAAAGGAATCGATTGACTTTTATGAGGATGGAATCCATAACCCACAAGTAAAGATGCAGAATCTACCAGGCAGGATCTGGAATCCACGAGTTGGGATCCAGAATCCAAGTAATATCATTATCTGGTATGCGGTCAGGTTATAATTATTAATTTATTACAAATACAACCAGTGACGGAAATTCACTTTCTCCGGTGGGAGGGGGGGCAAAGCCTCCTAAATTTCCGACAAAAATCTCAAATTTCCGACATACCCCCCCCCCCAATTCCACTCGAAAAGACTGTTTTTAGCCCTCTTTTAGGTCAAAATTTCCGAAAATTCGTCAATTATTTTTCCCGCCTCACCAAGATTTCCGCCACTGAATTCAACTATACCAACCTGTCGAATTCGTAGCATTATATTGTGCATGAAAAGTAAAAGTATTTTTAGGATTTCTTGCATAACTTCCAGAATTTGACACGATGTATAAATTATTTGTGGATGATAAAACCACGACTTCTGTGCTTGCATTTGAACCGCAATATGTGCCAAGCAATGGCGCTGTGTAATTTGAACCATCATATATTCTTAGAAATTTATCATTGCAACTTGGTATGATAAGCTCTTTAAAGCTCAATGAAATGATGTACGTTTCAGCAAGCGTAATTAACCAGGAACAATATTGCGAGCGTGGATCCATCTCACTAACTGCAGCCTTATGTGATCTAAATGAACCACTAGGACCAGTCATTGTACGACGGCACTCTGAAATAGAATTAAAGAAAATCAAAGGACCTTAAAAATCAAAGCTAAAATCTATGCAATGTGCTTGTATATAGCATTTATCACAATATTAGTACTGTCGAGTAAAGTATGATTCAGTGAGTAATTGGAATGTTCCATACTTGCATTGTTGTTTCATTATTTTGAAAATCCCACTGTTCTCTACGCCATCGCTCATTGTTCTATCTCAAATTTATTTCATAATTTCATAATGTCAAAGAATTTTAACCTGGGTTGATACTATAAACAATTATAGCATTTATCATAATATTAGTACGGTCCAGTAAAGTATGATCCAGTGAGTAATTTTAATGTTCCATACTTGCATTGTTGTTTCATTGTTTTGAAAATCCCACTGTTCTCTGCGCCATCACTCATTATTCTGACTCAAATTTATTTCATAATTTCATAATCTCAGAGCCAAAGAATTTTAACCTGGGTTGATACTATAAACAACTATCAGGCTCAAATATGAACTCTGCCCAAAAATACATGCACAATCAATTCAGACAGTGGTTAAATTGTTAGCAATGTTATAAAAGATTATTAAACAATTGAACACTTTGAAATGTACATTTTAAACCTTCTTTTCTTAGTTACCGTACATGTTATAAGATTCAAATGCAATTTTTTTCCTGATTGTAGAAAGCGTTATTTGAATGTTCAATTGACGAACTGAGTTATGACGCACCTTCATAGTAACAATAGTATTTATTGTCTCCATCCAAAAACAAATGTTCCCCTCCCTGGGCATCTTTATTATCGATATCTTCTGTATCAAACACAATATACTCCAAGTAACTAAATGCCCACTTCACCATCTGACATTTGGGAGTGTCAGTAGAGCTAGATGTTAATAAATAAAATGGTTGACTGACTGGCAGTTCAATTGAATCATACCAGTTACCATCAGTTTGACAACAATAGTATATCTTGGTAGCATGATTATATACACCATCAGGTAGAAATCCTCCGTGACTATTTATGTTGTCAATACATTCATCATCCCAGAACACCCAGCCTGATCTCATATTTTTCGGACACGTTCCATTCTTGTAAATACAATATGAACCTGTCAAAACAAAAATACATTTTCAAGGGGAAATCATTCAAAAAACGTATACAACATAAAGAAATCATTTTGATTAAAAGAAATCATTCTGCATATAGAGAAAAACCTTACCTTTAGGCCAAAACCTTGCTTGTATTCCAGTATTTTGTTTCATGCAGAATGTCCTATTTACATCTATATTACCCCTTTTTATTGTTATGACACCCAGCATATGTGACCCATTAGATACTCTTGACCATTCACTGCTACTCTTTTCGTCTTGCATATCCTGATATCTCCAACCCTCGCGCCACCCATTCTTCTTACCACCTGGACATCCTGATTTAGGTTTAGGGAGACCATAACTACCATTTGGCCATTCACCACCTGAAAACATTAGAGCACATGTGCAATACTACTGATTAAATTAGAATAATTTATATTAGTATACAAATTGTTACATGAGTTCGGAACAAGTCAAACCGAGACGATTTCGGTCAGAGTGCTGTTTATAATCTGGAACTGTCTGTGCCAGTGTAGGTAGTGTCAATAATATGAACAAGCTTTCCTTGGTAGGGATGCAACTACCTGAAAAATATAAGGAGAATTTCGACGTTTCGAGCGAAGATTCTTAACTATAGTACCTCCAGACGATATTATTTACCAGAAATAGTTTACACTAAAACTGCCCCCGGCTGATTATGTTGTGATTAACTGGCTGTTATTAAAAATGATCATGCCTTATGGTTTACAAATATTTATACGACAAAATGTTATTACTACTTTCTGGCTTTCTTTCTTTATAGAAGGTCGATAAAATTGAACGAACTTTAAAAATGAAACAGTAACTACGTGTAACTTGTTACAAACGTTTTACAATGTGACCGTTGTGTGTTAAGTTTTACTCGATTCTTTATATTTGTATTTGTTTTTGACTGACTGATGTGCGAACCGAGTCTTTTGGTTCCTGTTTTGATTAATGTGACAAATCGTATTGTTGATGCTTGATAGAATCTTGATAGACGGAGTTTTTAGTCCTGTGTTAGGCTACTGTTTTTAAAGGTTAAAACCTTTAAAGCTTTTCGTTATTTGACGGACCGACTTCACCATTCACCAACAAAAAATGATAGTAACAACGTTACCTCACAGGTCTATTAATAGGCACGTAAAACAGACCATATAAAAATAAAATGCCGTTTGACAAGGTGTTGACCCAAGCGAATAATAATTCTTACAGAAAGCAACGCAACCTTTGAACCCTCACCTTTTAAACTTGCGCGGCTACGGCTCTACGCCAATAAGTCGCTTGCATTTTATAATAAAATTTGAACCCTCAGCTTTTAAACTTGTGGCCTTTTACTGTAATATATAAATTGACCTTAAACAATTTTTATATCATATTACGTGCGGGGACTTCAACCCCCCCCCCACCCCATTGATTTGCGATATTACCCACCACATTAAACATCAATTTGAGCATTCCTCCAAATTATCTTTCTGCTCAACTTTCAAAAAGGAATATAATTTAGAAAAATATCTTACTATAATCAATGATATGCTAATCAACGAAGATCATTTACTAGATTCCGTATATAAAGCAATCACAAGCTGATGGTGGAATCTGGTAGATATCAAAATATTCCTCGAGAAGAGAGAATTTGTCAGATCTCCATGTACTTCAAACGAAATAGAAACCGAACACCATTTTCTTACTTCTTGTGATGCGTACGAAAATGTTGGACAAGACTTTCTCGATATTCTTGCTAATGATACAAACCAACCTGAGCAAGATTTGTCAGTTGAACTCATAAGATCAACTGAAGATGTAAAATCGTCAAATTATCAAAATTATCCAAATTTGTTATCCAAAATTATCCAAATAAATATCCAAATTTGTTTTGCGATAAGGGATAAACGCCTTGAAACCATGAATGCTTAAGATAAGTATTATCAGTTCTTATCAGTGGCGTAACTACTATGGGCTCGGACCGGGCGAACCTGGGGCCCCCAACCACAATGGGCCAAATGGGGCCCCAGGTTCAGGCTGTAGAGCAAAAACATTGACCAGGGCCTTTGATATGTCACAATGTCGTTTTCTGACCATCAGAATTCTGTAAAATCTCTCCCCAAAGTCAGGGAAATGGCATTAAAAACTTAAATTTATCTGCCTCTGGTATACACCGGAATATATACATTGATATCATATTACGTGCGGGGACTTCAGTATATGCCCCTCGGGTTTTGGCCCTCTGGGGCCAAACCCTGCAATAATGTGTTTACATTTGACCGGGACGAAAAATTGCTCAGACCAGTGTCCCAGGAAATTTGCCCTCCCCCCCCAATTCGCCCCCACCCCTCGAAAACATAGTTTACTTTATCGCTATAACCTCGGAAATCGTGAAGACGAAAAACATGAATGTAAACACAAATACATTACAGACCGGCCTTGGCAGTGCTCTTGGCTTTGGAACAAAATGAGTTACCAAACGAGTTATCAACTTGCGCCATATAGTACTTGCCCGGCTAGTGAAGCCTGTCGCATACCGCAGTGCAACCGTTTCCGGTCAAATGATGGAGGCGTTGCTGTTGTTTCAAGAGAAGTCGTCCACCAGCTTCCCCTACAAGCCTATACCTGCTGCCATGGCTCACCTTTTCTGTTAGGGTACGGTCCTTTAGCCTTTGCCTCAATAGACTTACCGCAAGTCCGCGCTTTTCAACTATGCAAGGCAGGGGCGTCAGTCCCTGAGGTAGTATATACCCGCATACCCTTATACCCTTTGGAACAAAATGCATGCTCACAAATTAAACCACTGTAAAAGGAAAATGACCACACTTGCGGTAACTATCAACTGTCATGCAACTGTTTCTTGTTTGACCAGGTAATGAGAATTCATTGCAAACTACCATACCTTGTGTGAATGAAGGGACCAAGCCAAGAACGCAGGCCAAAATAAGGCTTATTCTAAACAATTTCCTTTTTTGGCTTTTTGTAATCTGTAATTCAAAAAATTCAATACGTTATATAAAGCCATTAGCAAATATATAAGTATAGGTAATAATATGGTTTCGAGTGCAATTTGGAAAAAACATGCGTGAGTGAGTTTTTCAAACACTATCAAGTCCAAGTCAAGTCTTTGAAAAACGCACGAGTGTATGTTTTTCCAAATTCCACGAGAAACATTACTGGAAGAGTCAAGCACTATTACTTATTAACTAAAAGTTACTATCGCAAATGAAGTGCTGCCTTGGCATGCATATGTAGTTGTAGACTTGCTCCAAGTCTCTCTTTCATTGTCATATAGTATCGGTCCACTATAGTGTACATTACATGACGTAGTACGGAGGGGCGGAGCGAGAAAGAGAGACTTGTAAACTTCGGAAAATCTCGCCAGTTCAAAACTGAACCGAAAATGCAAGACTTGCTTCAATTGTTTTCTTTCAGTGTTTATATGTATTGATCTAGCACATGTAAATAACATGAGTTCCATTATAGTAAATAATACAGAAAGAAATTGAAGGAAAACAATTAAAGCAAGTCTTGCATTTTCGGTTCAGTTTTGAACCGAGATTTTCCGAAGTTGACAAGACTCTCTTTCTCGCTCCGCCTCTCCGTGCTACGTCATGTAATGTACACTATAGTGGATCGATATGACAATGAAAGAGAGACTTGGAGCAAGTCTAATGTAGTTGGGGAGTTGGGGGGTTCTTTCTCCAAATAAAGAAAACAAACTCAAATGGATTTATGTGAAATTAAATTATTTTAATTACATTTATCATTAAACACATTTACCACTTAACATGTTTAATATTATTAGGGCTAAAATTTTGTCACTGGTAATTTGTTTGGGTTTTTTTTGTATTATTTTCACTTTTTGCACTGTATTTCGAAAAAATTGCACTGCTCTTAGCATATCAGAATTGAGAAATGTTTTCATGTATATTATTATGTTTCAAATATTTCTCATATTTTAAATAGCCTCCTTGCGGAGCGCGTTCCCCGAGCAGAAATTTCATTTTCCGCGAATTTTCAAGAAAATACTACAATTTGATCAATCTTACAAATCCTATTCTTGATCAAACAAGACGCTCTATAGAGCGTGAACTCGCTAGGGCTATACAAATGAAAACTAAACTTTGTCACCATATTTGCACTGTACCGCAATAGCAATGCACCCTACTTTATTATTTTAATGTCTCATACCAGTCGATTTTGCTTGTCAAAGGGAGAGTGCTGCCGCCCTCAAATTCGCTAAGTTTGTATTGCAGGTAGGTGGCTCAGTTTTGATGTTTTTGTTAGTATGACCCCAGTTCATGCAGGATTTTATAGAACCAGACACAGTACTAAAATGCGGTGCCCTACAAATAAAACTACAAATAAAAGCGTTTCAGTACGCTACATTCTACTGTCAGCCGCCAGTTGGTCCGTACGCTAGGAATTAAACTGCGCTTTAAAACGTTCAGGAGAAAATATTTGGGGGGTTTTGGGCTCAAAATATTATCAAAATGAAGAGAGAAGTGAGACGAATCCACTGGTATACGGCCGAAAAAGAGAAAACCAACGATACTAAAGTTATCAAGGATCAAACGTACCGCATTTTTTATAATTACTTCGTCTTCAATTAGTTTAATAATTTTGAGCGATCGGTCAACAATACAATTTCGCTTGGCTTTCAAAGACAAAGGCCATAAATCGCTAGAATACTGTTGTTCAGTAATACATTTGACATCCGTAAGTACAATTTCTTACGCTGAATCGAACGGTGGTATTTTTATAGTTATCTATTAAAACTACGTTGTGTAGTTTAAGTTATAACCTTTTACCTTAAATTGTCTTTGGCTCGTTTTAATATATTCAGATTCAGTACTCGTGCACGGGAATTCAACAATCCAAATTTCTGATTTTCAGAGTCGGGCACCAAGAAAAATGCATTAATTAACTAAACTAGCAAGTATGTCCAGAGTTAAAAGCGGTTTTCCAGTCCTCGCACGAAGCTCCTCGCAACTTCGCTGCGAGTGCTTGC